TAATACCCCATTTTTTATCTACCGTACGAGAGGATTCCTCAACAGACCTTGACCCAATAGCTGTCAGAGTGAAACCTGGAGAACAGACTGTGAAACCACTACTGCTGAGCCCTGCTGAGCCCAGGCCACGGCTCTTCCGACCCCAGCTGCAGAAAGGCCTGAGGAACAGCTCTAAGTACAGGATAAGTGATGAGTGAGAACATGGGAGCCCTCTAGTCACTAGAGAGAATTCTGTGACCGTCAGCTACTGCCTTCCCTAAACAAAAGAATATTCATAATGGCCACAAAGCCCTGGCCCGAGTCAGCACACTCATCTGGGTGGGCCATGCCATATATCAAAGGGCTAGGGAAGTAGGCCGCGGTCAGGACACTCACATTCACTCCACGGGACAATGGCTTGGGAGTACCTGGCTATGGTTTTTAAGAAGTTCTTATTTGTCAAAGTAATAGACCGCAGTATTTCCAGGTAAAATATTACCACCCTAGAAACGTGCCCCATACTTGGCTTCTGCTCTGAAGGCCACCATCAGCTGGAGAGAGACGGTGGCCAGAGGCACTGATGGAGAGGAAAAAGCCAGCACATTCGAGATGCAGGAAGGTTCCTTTATGATGGCGAATTTGATGGTACACAGTTCTGGAGTAGGGCCCAGTCACTGGGCCCCAGGAGGCAGCAGGAGCAGGTCTGAGAGGGACGACACACTCCAGGGCTCATGTCACACTGATACACGCACCAGGAATGACCGCCCATGTACCTCCCTACAGCCCAACCCGCCCAGCAGTTCAGTCACGAATTCTGCTTCATTCTTCATGTTTGGCCACTGAAGATCAAATCCACCACGATGATAGCATTTCAGCACAACAGGCTTTTTCCAGTCACGACAGTCAGAGATGTCCAGGCTCCTGAGGTGAAACCACAGTTCCATTCTCTTGCGAGGACCAAAGAGATAAATTTTTTCTTTATGATCTGTTGAAATATTTATATAGACTTTAAAAAAACAACTAACAGTCAGTCCATTCTGTGCTCTGTTTCCCTGGAAGGTTTCTCATGATCGCCCCTCCGAGAGCTAGAGGGGTTGTGTGTCTGGGAACAAAGAATTAAGACACTTTAAAATAAGCAATGAAAATCCTAGTGAGACACTCAGAAGCGGATGGTGGGCTGGAGGGGGACGGGGGGGGGTGGGAGGCGGGTGCTTCGACTGAGGAGCTGGGTGCCGCCTTTTGTGAAAGCCAAGTGGAGACAGAAGCATCGGGGCAGGAAGCTCTGCCAGGGAAGGCCCAGTTCCTTCCTTGCTCTTCCCTGGGGGACGAGGGACAGCACGGCCCCTGCCTTTCCACTTCTCAGGGCCGAAGACCCGACCTCTGACCCTCCACCCACTCCGGTGACCTGCACGCTAAGTTGGGTGGTCTCTGACAAACAGGCTTAAGCCAAGAATGGGGGTTTGACTCCCAGAAGACCCAGGCAGAATTCCCTTCAGGCCGTTTCAGGCAGCAGGGAGCTGGGAGGCTCACTCCCCAGGCAGCTGAGAGGTGTGGAGGGAAGAGCCAGGGACGGGAGAGGCTTCCAAGGCTCCGAGATCAGCAGCGGAAGGCGCCAGCCACGTGGTGGCCGTGAGCCTGGCTCGGCTCTGTGAGGAGGACCTGCTGCCGCTGCCACCTCACCCTGTGCTGGGGAGACCATGGGACGTCTCCGCAGCCAGCAGCAGCCTCGATACACCCCGACTTCCTTTCATATGTATATATGGAGAGAGATATATACACATATATATTCATTATTTTTAACTGAAATAAATGCAACGGATCAGGTTCATTCCCCTTTGCTGGGAGTTGCTCGGTCCCCTGCCCTGAGGGGTTCACGCCTTCGGACCGGCCGCCAGGCTCACCCCCGCTGAGGGAAAGTGGCCCTGGGATGAGGAGAGGAGAAGACACACACCACAGCAGGTGACCGGGAGGAAGGCCTACCTCGAGAGACTGTTTCTAACCCTGAGAACCTAAGGAATTGTGAAGGACTCGGACAGGGGGCTGGGGTTAAAGGTCACCAGGCTTTTTATTGCAATTGAAGCAGACTCGGACGGGATGGTCCCAGCCACGAGAAGGGACGGCCCGGCGGTCATGGGAGCACTCGTCACAGAAGCCCTGTCCGCAGGCCCGGCAGTGGTGCTTGGACAGCTTGATGCTGAACTCCTTCCGGCAATTGTGGCAGTGCAGGATTTCGTGGTCAGGCACCCAGTACGCAGGCCTGGCCGCATCCTTTACCAGACCTATGGCAAGGGACAATGGTCAGGATACCCAAAACCCAATACCCCGAGGTCCAACTGGCAAGAGGGCATCCTGAGATGCTTACTGGCTTGTAATCCCAACTGCATACAGAACTGCTTACAGAGCTTTTTAAAAATGCAAATGCCCAGGCTCCACCACCCACTCACAGCCAGATCAGAGTCTTTCAGACTGGAACATAAGCACTGATTTTCCTTTTTCTTTTTTTTTTTTTTTTTTTTTGGGAGAGAGTCTTGCTCTGTCCCCCAGGTTGGAGTATAGTAGCATGATTTCAGCTCACCATGACCTCTGCCTCCTGGGTTCAAGCAGTCCTCCCACTTCAGCCTCCCAAGTAGCTGGGACTACAGGCACGCACCACCACACCTGGCTAATTTTTGTAGAGACAGGGTTTCATCATGTTGGCCAGGCTGATGGTCTCAAATTCCCGGCTTCAAGTGATCCACCTGCCTTGGCTTCCCAAAGTGCTGGGATTCTAGGCATGAGCCACCATGCCCAGCTTTTCTTTTTCTTTTGAAACAGGGTCTCACTCTGTTGCCCAGGCTGGTCTCAAATTCCTGGGACAACTCCTGCCTGAGCCTCCCAAGCAGCTGGGATTACAGGCACGCACCCCCATACCCAGCTCCTTGATATTCCCATCTGTGAAGCTCTCCTTGTAAACTGAAGGGGCAGCCGTGTTAAGGATCCCTGGAGGAACTATAAAGAAGTCTGGGCTCTGGAGTCAGACACTCTAATCCCAATTTTATTGAGAATGGGTTAATCATAAACTGCTGGATTAAGAAAGTTTAGCTAAGGCTGGGCACTGTGGCTCAGGCCTGTAATCCCAGCACTTTGATGAGGCAGGCAGATCACTTGAGGTAAGGAGTTCGAGACCAGCCTGGCCAACATGGTGAAACCCTGTCTCTACTAAAAATACAAAAATTAGCTGAACATGGTGGCACATGGCTGTAACCTGAGCTACTTGGGAGGCTGAGGCATGAGAATCACTTAAACCTGGGAGGTGGAGGTTGCCATGAGCCAAGATTATTGTACCACTGCACTCCAGCCTGGGCAATAGAGTGAGATTCAATCTAAAAAAAAAAAAAAGAAAGAAAGAAAATAATGGAAAGAAAGTGCAATGGAGCGCCATTGCACTCCAGCCTGGGTAACAAGAGCAAAACTCCATCTCAAAAAAAAAAGAAAGAAAGAACGTGCCTGATACACTGGCCTAGGATTCTACATCTGTGGGCGCTCAGGATGAGAGCACTTGGTGAGCACAGCTTGCAGGCTATACTCTGCTTCTGAGCCAAGGACAGTCCTTGCCTCTCCCAGGTATCCCTGAAGACAGATGCAACCTCAGATTGAAGCCTGGGCAAATCCAGCACTCCTACATCATCTACTCTGTGAGCCACAGTGAGGAAAGCTGCTCCAGAACATTTTCATCACTACCTACTTTTGCTCACTCCCCTACAATATGCCACACTACCCCAGGCCTGGCCAGCCTGGCCTAAGCCCACCATGCACTGGGTGATTTCCTTCCCTCTCCCCCTCACCATCCTGAATACATCCAAAGCTAGGGTGCTATTTTAAATCTTAAACTACTAACAGTTTGGCTGGTGTGACAGATTAAAGGCAGTGTAGACTCTTTGACCCACTTTCCATCTTTGACAATCCTGCCCCCTCCCGTGAATCTAGGCAGCAGACTCCAGGAGATGACAGCAGGGGTGCCAGTCTGCAATCCTAGGCCTTAAGAGATGGGCAGCTTCAGCTGGGCGCAGTGGCTCATGCCTGTAATCCCAGCACTTTGGAGGCCAAGGTAGGTGGATCACCTGAGGTCAGAAACTCAAGGCAAGCCTGGTCAACATAGTGAAACCCCATCTCTACCAAAAATACAAAAATTAGCTGGGCCTGGTGGCACATGCCTGTAATCCCAGCTGCTCAGGAGGCTAAGGTAGGAGAATTGCTTGAACCCGGGAAGCAGAAGTTGCAGTGAGCCGAGATTACACCACTGCACTCCAGCCTGGGCGACACAGTAAGATTCCATCTCAAAAAAAAAGAAAAAAAAAGAGAGAGAGAGATGGACAACTTCTATTTCTTGTCTCTTGGAACATTAGCTCCTGGAATCCTGACATCACTTAAGAAGTCCAGCTTCTTAAGTGCCAGAAAAACCACTGAAGAGGCCTGGAGAGTACAGAGAGGGGATGAGGCTCTGCTACACACAGCCTTCTCACTGTCCCTGCCAAGGCACCCAGCTTGTAAGTGAGGTCAGCTTGAGGTCAGCCTGGAGTCTTGAGACCACTCCAGCTGCCACCCTGGAATATCAGTTAGTAACTAGGGGAAATGCCACTTGAAGCTGAATAATCACCCCTCCTGACTTCTAGACCTAGATAGACATCTAAGATGCTTGTTTTCTTTTTTAATGTATTTTTCTTTTGAGATGGAGTTTCCTTCTGTATGTAACTCAAGCTGGAGTGCAGTTGCGTGATCTTGGCTCTCTGCAACCTCCACCTCCCAAGTTCAAGTGATTCTCCTGCCTCAGCCTCCTTAGTAGCTGGGATTACAAGGCCCGAGCCACCAAGCCCGACTCAAGATGGTTGTTTTAAGCCTATGCATTTTAAGGTAGCTTGTTACACAGCACTAGATGCTATGAGAGAATAGCCTCAGGAATAAACATGAAACTACTAAGGCATTCAGCAGAAGCAAGCAAATGGCGATTTGTAATTGATTCCTTACCACCCATCTCTATCTAGGTTGGCAAGCCTTTACAAAGTGGCAGCCCAGGGCACCCGAAACCCCTCAACCCAGATCTGCTACACCCAAGAGAAGCACCGCCAGGCCCACCTAGTGGTATGTCAATGGCTGTTACAACAGCTCCCAGAGTGTTCTGCACGGCCTCGCCCACCTTCCGAGCGATGAGCGTTCCGCCTTCATCGTCCCCCTGTGCCTCGGTAACATCTGTAGACGATAATAAGGGAAAAGCTGTCACCTCTAAGTCCACTCCCAAATGGAAAACTCAGGGAGCAATAGCAGAACGCTTCTGGATTCTGAACCCAAATACCACCGTGCCGTCCGGCAACCCCTGCAAAGGCCTGCGCTGCGGGTCAGGTCAGCCCAGACCCTGAAATCCGATGACATCTGTCAGTCCTTTATCTGCAACCTTCTGGGGATCCTTTATAACCTTCTTTAAGGCAGAAAGGTTCTCGGAGCAAAATCTAGTACCTTCTCAAAGGAGAAGACTGAACTAGAACCTTCTCAAAGGAGCAGCCTTTTCAGAACTCAGCTGCTATGTGTGTATTCCCTTCCCCCAGAAGCAGCTCTGCAGCTGGGAACGCGGGACAGGCTCGAGCCCTGAGGAACAGCAACCACAGGACGCTCTTAAGCAAGGAGCTTAGAGCCTGACTGGCCAAGACCCGAGGTAAGCGCTCTCACAAGGACGATGTAGTTAGGAGCGGAACTGGGGCATCTGGACATCCAGTTCCCAGTGCCAAGGAGGGAGGGTCTCCCCGCCACCCCTGCAGCTCCCAGGCCCCACATTACCTAACTGGACATTCCTGGCTTCATAGCAGTTGTCACACACCCGGACCGGTGCAGGGCCCCAGCCCCGCTCAGGCACTGGCCGAGTCTTTGATGAACAGCTGTCACAGAAGCCCTCCCCACAGGCTCGGCAGTGATGCTTCGTGTCGTTATCTTTAAAAGATGTCGCACATTTGTTGCAGCTCTGTTCCAAGCCCAAAACAAAACAGAGAGGCAGGTAGGTTATGACACGTCTGTTCAGCTGAGAAGTTGACCAGAGCTGGAACAACCAGAAACTAAGGCAGGTGGTGTTAGCTCAAGCTCAAGCAGGACAAAACTTTCTTTTTTTTTTTTTGAGACAGAGTATCGCTCTTATTACCCAGGCTGGAGTGCAATGGCATGATCTCGGCTCAACGCAACCTCCGCCTCCCGGGTTCAGGCAATTCTCCTGCCTCAGCCTCCTGAGTAGCTGGGATTACAGGCACGTGCCACCATGCCCAACTAATTTTTTGTATTTTTAGTAGAGAGGGGGTTTCACCATGTTGACCAGTATGGTCTCGATCTCTTGATCTCGTGATCCACCCACCTCGGCCTCCCAAAGTGCTGGGATTACAGGCTTGAGCTACCGCACCCGGCCTAGGACAAAACTTTCTAGTAAGAGTTATCCAGGCCGGGCGTGGTGGCTCACGCCTATAATCCCAGCACTTTGGGAGATAATCCCAGCACTGTGGGAGATAATCCCAGCACTTTGGGAGGCCGAGGCAGGTGGATCACGAGGTCAAGAGATCGAGACCATCTTGGTCAACAAGGTGAAACCCCGTCTCTACTAAAAATACAAAAATTAGCCGGGTGTGGTGGCGCGTGCCTGTAATCCAAGCTGCTCAGAAGGCTGAGGCAGGAGAATTGCCTGAACCCAGGAGGCGGAGGTTGCGGTGAGCCGAGATCGCGCCATTGCACTCCAGCCTGGGTAACAACAGTGAAACTCCGTCACAAAAAAAAAAAAAAAAAAAAAAAAAAAGAGTTATCTGAGAGTGGAAAGGAAGCCTGGTGGGCAGCGAGTGTCCTTTCACTAAGTGTCTGGGTTAAAGCTGGGTGCTCTCTTGCTCTGGGTGCTGTAGCATTAATGGATCAAGCTGAGGATGACCCTAAATAACCTTTAAAGGCTCCTTTTCCCCAGATTCTCTATCTGCATCCTCACACATGTAAGTAATATTAATTGGCCACCAGTCAAGGAAACTATAATCCAAGAGAGAAAATACTTGCAGGAAAACACGACGAGAAATCAGTGGGCAAAGAGGGCACTGGCCTTCTCAATGACTCCTCCCCTTCCCCGTACTCGCAGGGCTCAATGTACTGGCAGAAATGTTTGCGTCTCCCTCACAGAGCAAGCTCAGCATAGGGCAAAGCAGCATTAAGCAGGATGGGCCGTGCCAGGGGTGTAAGGGCATTGTGCCACTCCATACCAGAATCTGGGAGTTGGGCCTCCAGTAGGCAGGGGCAATCTGGTCTGTCAGCCAGGAAGTCACAGCCTTGGTGGGTCCAAGGCTGAGCTCGGACACTGACTGAGCCATGAAGTTCATCCCGTCCAACAGGCGCTGGGCAGCGTTGTTGTTGTCCTTCAGAAACCCGTCAGTCTGAAATGAAAATGCAGGCTTCCATCATGCTGAGAAGGGAGTGAAAGGGAGGAGGAAGAGGGATGTCTGGTGAGTTGCCAACTCACTGTGGCCAACTCAGAACCATTAACTTCCTGGCAGGGAAAAATGCAGACCAAGATCCCTCTGGCTTTGTTCTCTTCCAAGCGACCATAAGACTTGACATGCAGCTGTTCAATTCAGGACTTACTAAGCCCATATAATACAGATGACACCTCTTCCAGGAGGCCCCCCACCACAGGCTGAGTTACGAACCTTTCCTCTTAGTTCTTCCAATACTTTGACATGTCTAGGAATCCTATTTCTGTGTGTCTTAAGTACAATATCCATTTATGTATCTGACTCCTTATCAAACTCTGAACTCCCCGACAATAACTCTTTTTCATTTTTGTATTTTGTAAAGTAACTAGCTCAATTCTGGGCACAAGGTACATAACGATGTGCGGTGAAATGAAAAAGGGAGGGAGGGAGGTGGGGGGGAGAGGGAGGGAGGGAGGGAGGGAGGAAGGAGTAAACACAGCAGGGTAGGCATCTGTATTCTCCTAATTTCAAGTACTGTGAGGAATGCAACCTGAGAGTACTCTACTGCGGTACTGTTTTCCTGGAATATAAACTATCTAACCACCTTTACTTTCTCACTATAAGACCACATTAAGTCCTTGGGACAAGATGCCATAAAACATTACGCCAAGGAGGTGGGCTCCAGCAATGAGACTACCATACAACAACAAATTTCAGTGGGCCTGAACACTGGGAAAAAAGAAGAGAAAAATAAGGAAATCTCCAGTTTTATGGTACCTACAGGATCCAGGAAAGCTCAGAAGGGACTTGCAGGTAGGATTCCTAGGCTGAATGGTGGCTTGAGGAATCACCAAACAAGGACAATGACACAGAGTAAAATTATTCCCTCAGTGAAAACTCACTTGTCTTTCTTCCATGAAAGGAAAAAGTTTTAGATTTGTTGTGATTTATGGACAACGCTAAGTGTGAACGCTGATTTAATGCAGAATGAAAGCATGATATCACTGCCTCATAAGCAGATTTGTATTTTTGACATCTGGAACTCAAAAGTCAAAGTAAGAAATCATTAAGGGTCTATAGGAATCCCACTTCCTAGAATATACTTCAAGAAAATTTCCTAAAACAAAAAATGGCTTTCTTACACAAAGATAGTCACTAGCATTTTAATGTTTTTTTTAAAAAGGTAGAAATAAAACTAAATAAAATAGTATTATAAGGGAAAAAAAAGAAAAAGGCATGTAAATTATCTGCATCTATAAAAACATATACATACGGAAAATGAATCAGTAGAATATGGGAAAATGTTTTATTTGCCAAAAGAGTAAACTATAGATTTTTATTGTATTTATTTAAAGTTGTACTTTTTTTTATTTATTTATTATAGAGATGGGGTCACACTATGTTGCCCAGGCTGGAGCTCAGTGGCTATTCACAGGCACGATGCCCCCCATAGTGATCAGCACAGGAGTTTTGACCTGCTCCGTTTCTGACCTGGGCCGGTTCACCCCTCCTTAGGCAACCTGGTGGTCCCCTGCTCCCAGGAGGTCACCATACTGATGCTGAACTTAGTGGGATGCCCGATCAGCATAGCTCACTACAGCCCAGAAATCCTGGGCTCAAGAAATCTGCCCACCTCAGCCTCCCAAGTAGCTGGGACTATAGGTACGTGCCACTGCACCCGGCTCAAGTTGTACTTCTAATATACATGCAAGAAGAAATAAAAACAACTAAAGGTCTAGAGAGCAAAAAAGCTCTCTAGATCATGCCTTTCCAAACCACCAACATTCTGAAATTCACAGTTAACCTTAATTTTAAACAAGTTCCAGTTTTCTACACACAAAAAACTGAACAACACAAGATAAAGGAAAACAGTTCTTACTCCAGGCCACACGTGCACAATCTCTGTCCGCACCACCGTATCCACAGGATCTTGGTTTCCAAACCAGTACTGCCGACTACGATAGACCACGCCACAGTTAGGACATTCGATCACATACCTACGAGGAAGGCAAATCAATACTGTTACCCTGCCAGGTGCCTGGGGAGACAAACACACCAGGAAACCTTTAGCCACATTGTTTAAACTCACCCAGACCAGGCATATTTTGCGAGACCCATCCAGGGAGAGTCCGTGGAAGCAGATGTTTTGGGCACTACGCTGACTTCCTCGCCTCTCTCATAGCAGGCCTGAAACAGGGAACACTCTGCTAGCTTATTTTTTGTCTTACGGTTTTTTCTTTTTTTTTTTTTTTGAGATGGAGTTTCGCTCTTGTTACCCAGGCTGGAGTGCAATGGCGCAATCTCGGCTCACCGCAACAGCCTCCTGGGTTCAGGCAATTCTCCTGCCTCAGCCTCCTGAGTAGCTGGGATTACAGGCACGCGCCACCATGCCCAGCTAATTTTTTGTATTTTTAGTAGAGACGGGGTTTCACCATGTTGATCAGGATGGTCTCGATCTCTTGACCTCGTGATCCACCCGCCTCGGCCTCCCAAAGTGCTGGGATTACAGGCGTGAGCCACCGCACCCGGCCTTGGTTTTTTCTTTTTTAGTAGATATGGGGGGTTTTACTGTGTTGCCCAGGCTGGTCTCGAACCCCTGGGCTCAAGCCATCTGCCCGCCTCAGCCTCCCAAAGTGCTAGGATTACAGATGTGAGCTGTCATGCCTAGCCTTCTGCTAGCTTTTCCTATGTACACCACACCCCTACATCCATCCCGACTCTCCACAAACCATACCAGCTGAGAGTTTCAGACGGTGAGTTTAGCACCTCAGAAGAAAGGTCATTCCTCTAGAGAAGCCAGTGCCTCGAGTGGTAATGAACTGAGTGTGCGTCCATCCCAGGCCCCAAAACTGAGCTTTAAATTATGTATCTGTTACAGACAGGAAGGCAATCCAAAACTAGTTTCCTAAAGAGCACTTCTGCTCTTAAGAATGAATGTTCGATGTAAATGACCCTTACATACAAGCTCAACAGAACGAGGAGAAAATTAGCTTAAAACAGTGAACAAAGGGACCCTCACGAATGAAGACATGTGAATGCTTTTTGTCAGAGCTGGAGAGAGGTTCCAGAAATATTCCACTTGAATATCAAATACTTTGGCATGCAGCCATGGATGGCCCCAAGATGGTCTTGCCAAAGAGAGAGAGAGAGAGTGGTCAGCAAGCCCGCTGCTGAAGCAGGCAGGAGCTCAGAGGACTCACCTTGCAGGTATAGACTCGGTTGTCATACTGGTGGGAGTATCTGCAGCGGCTCTGGGCTTCATGAGGCACTCCTTCCTTCCCATGATTCATGCTGTTCTTACATCCAACCCTGAATGAAGCCCAAAGACTGACAATGAGATGGCTAAAGAAGCCAGTGCCACTTACACAGAACAGTCTGACCCTGAGCCAGGCACAAGGCCAAGACCAGACTTTGATTACTAACTGGGCCTCAGATGCTGAACACAGAAAGGGTAGCTGGAAACCCACATGCCTCTGTGTTACACTTGCAATCAACAGCACTACAGAGGTACAGCAACTACTATCCTTATATGAGAACAGAGGGGGAAAAAGACATCTCAGCTGGGCGCGGTGGCTCACGCCTGTAATACCAGCACTTTGGGAGGCTGAGGGGGGTGGATCACTGGAGGTCAGAAGTTCAAGACCAGCCTGGCCA